GCAATAAGGAATGCTCCTGCACTGGCTGGGAGATGAACTGGATGGAACCTAATGGGACATTTTGTCATGTCTAACGTCTAGGATTCTGTGATTAACGCCGCGATTAGCCACGTTTTGCAAGGTCTTCTCTTTCAACTGAAAAATGTGCTTCAAATATGCAAGTGCGTGTGTGGACCAAAGACATGTCAGAGGGTTTGTCAAAAGCAAAACCACTATTTTAGCTTCCCCTTCGGGGAATTATTCAGTTTAATTGACAATCTCTCTCTCATGGTTTGAACATTGCAATGTGTATTTCATCAAAGCATGAAATAAGCCGTTCTTGACATCTTTTAACAAGTATTTCTACACATTGCTGCACACTCAGTGGGACGGGCAGTCCCCGTCCAGGTGTGGCCAAGGACTAAATCTAAGCACTTGGTGTCGGGCTCATGCAATTGCCTGTTTTCAACCTGCCTCCAGTTTATGAAACTAGCCCTACGCAGAGAATAGAAATACATTTTCTTGGAAAAAATGGGAGAATCTGTGCTTACTGTCAAGCTGTCATGGCCCGTTCTGGGGCCATGCTTTCATGCTGCTGGCTGGCGAGGGTAGCCTTGAATGCAATTACTTCCTAGCATGAAACTGACAAGAGTGACACAAAGCAGACAGCAAGGACGGTGCAGACAGCGTTGCAGTACAAAAGGTGTCCGTTGGCAGGAGGCTAAACCCAAATCTTTCATTTCATCCAATTTTTACCACCAAGTTTCTGATTAAAACATGAACTGCAAATCCACGTTAAAGAAATACATGCATCTCACCAAATAACCTTCCAATTAACTTTGTCATGTCTATGAATGACCAATGAATTATTTAACAAAAAAATCCATCTTTTCACTTTTTATTTCATGCTTCTCATAAAACAAGGGAGGCTACCTAGGATTATACAGGTAATGTGCGAAGTTAGGGAACATGGCGGGAGAGGGGGAGGAAAGTGTATTTTTGAGGGAAACATCCTTTGATTGTCATTCAACGTAAACCCACAACCACAACTGGCTTTGGGAAACAGTAAAAGACGCATCTAAAATGTTCGCTGTTTGACAAGTGGTAAGCAAAACAGCTGCTATAAACTCAAAGCCAGCGGTTGTCTAAGTCTTACCCCACTGAAGTGGTTTGAAGGGGTGACTTTCAAATTTAGCTCTGTCAAGTTCCTACGGTTTCACATGATATAACAGTGACAGAGCAAAAGTGTCCGTGGAACACCCCAAACACACATTTATAGAAAGACAAGGGTTCAGGTTTTTTAGAATTGCCTGTGGTGAGAAAGTCAGCACGGCTCCATGTATGTGCAGGAGGTGCACAAAATTCCTTGCAGGATCAGGGCTTCGCACAGTGAAAATCTGTGCAGACAGGAAACTTCTATTTATGTAAAATGTCATGCACTGCCCTGCATGAACAAATGATATCTGTACTTCCCAAAGGTTTTAGAATGACACAGAATGGTCAATTACCATGTGCTACCCAAGCAATACGCTACTTGTATCAAGACAGCATCACTCCGACACTCAAAGATATGGCGTTGCCTGTCCTGAACTGCAGATTCCACTAGGCAGGCTAGGTGAGTCAAGTCTTTACTTTACCCCAGCACAGATTACATCTTCGGCAAGTTATCAAAAATGCTGAAGACCAGTTAGTGGAAGAGAAAGAACAGAATACACTTAGTAGCAGGAAACTTACAAACAAATAAAATTAGAGAAAACGTGTGTAGAGGAGAGTATTTGACCAAGGAGCAGAAATATTAGAGAGGAAGCAACAAATGGACCATTGTCTAGCTGTATCCTGGCTCATGTTGAATTCACTTGGGTGCATACTGCCCTTATAAACCATATTAACATTACACATACACCAGCCTACCAGTTAATACACTGCTTCATAGAAGTTAAACATCTGAGAAGCATTTATAGGGCATTTTATTCTTTAGAAAAACCCCACAGCTTTCCTCTTCAAAATCCCTGCATTCATCTCTGTATCTTTGGAGAAGAACCAACACCCCTATATTACCTAAAACACAAGGTCATGTGTGCTTTACTGACAACTCTGTATGTGATGTTGAAACACTTCTGTATGCAAAAGCATGAGATTTGGGAATGACAACTCATTTCTTTCCTGCGAGGCATTTAAGACAATATTGCAAATGGACCTTACATGTAAGCGAATGGACAAGTTTGATATGGAAACAAACCAGGCAGAATTGAATTCCCAAACATAAGTGGGTGTGTGGAGACTCATTATCATCATCAAACTTTAACGTAGCTTTGCACAAGTGTCATTGGATGACAGATTACAATGCACATCAATTGGATTCGGAGAGGGTTCGCAATCCATTATGGGTTAAAAGCTGTTCCGGCATGAATCAGAGTCACAGTGGTGAGGAGATCATCGATACAAGGGATTATGCAGATTAAAGAAATACCCTATGCATCTGAAAGTTTTCAGAATGCAAACTATGTCAACCCTGCAAACAAGAGGTACTGCATCATTATGGCAGGAGAGACAAAGCAGAGGGGGTTTAACGGACAAAAAAAGATTGTTTTAATAGGAGAGAAACATCAGTCATCGAGTCCTACTTCATTCAGACTTTCTATCCAACCCCATCCATCTTCAGTGCCAAGAGATGACAGGGCCCTGCTCCCTTTTTCCCCCCGCCTGGTATATCAATAATGCCCATTTCTACCATAACAAATGACTCGCTAGAATGGCCCTTTTCCCTAAACTGGCTTGCCAAGCTCTAGGGATGCCTTAGTACCTGCTACGGTCAACATGGCTATAATGGGATCTCTTGTGAGGTAGGCATCAATGGGCGGAGCCTTTTGTACCCATCTTCATAAACAGCCACTTTGTCATTCATGGCTGGGGAATGTCTGCAAAAGAGGGAGCTGGGAGAAAAAAAAAAAACCACACACACACACACACACACCCTACACAACCCAGAATGCAAATTCCTTCGCCCTCCTGAAACGCTTCTCCGGGCATTATCTGCGAACAAAAGTGCTCCATGCAGGCGGTCTCTGCATCACTGCTCTCTCTGTTAGCAACACCTGCTTAGTGTCAGCACAGAGAGTTTCAGAGTTATCTTTTTGCCATGTCAGCAGAAGCCAACCAGAGCACAATGGGCCCATTGCTTGGGGTCACTTACGTCTTTCTCCCTTTCCCGACACCACCAACTTGTTCACCTCGGCCACTCCTAGGACCCTGGATAGCTAAATAAGTTGGCGGTCTTGAGTACAGGAGAGAAAGGGGGAGAATATAGGTCTCTGGCCTGAATCACCAATGCCGCTTCCCCTCCCCTCCCTTTTCCTTAAGACCTGATGGTCTTCAGTCACACATCTTAAAAGAAAAACAAAAAACAAAAACACAAAGACTTACTTGTCTCAAGTCGATGAAGGCCAACTGCAGTGTGTCCCCTTGGAACCCAGGCACTGGCCCGGATCTGGCAAACTCTGTGGGAAAGAAAAGAGGATAAAAAGCGCCTTTAACTAACCATGGACAGGGAGATTGGCAGACGGATGACAGGGAAGACAAGAGAGACTGGGGGAGAGGAGGACTGCACTTCTAAGGAGTCATGTCTCCCTCCCTTCAGCTTCTTTGTTTGCCCTTCAAAATTTGTGTCATCAAAACACCATTAATTCCACCGTCCTGACAGCAAGGAAACTGTACTAATTCGACCTGAAATTTATTCCCATGAGCCGCACTGGGCTTCAGAGTATTTGTTTTGTGAATGGACAAACAACTTGCAAAGAAGAAAGGGGAGGTGGGGGTGGAAAAGTTTTTCCTCTCAACACAATAAAATCTTCAGCTGTGAAACTCTTTTCAGTTCCGAAAGCTATTTATATTTTAGGGCACTGAAGGTATTTTCTAATTTCACGCCTGTCACCGGGTTCCATAAGCATTCATCAAAAAAATATGCCCAGCAGCACCATTAATTATTCTGCAGCAGATTATCTGCATTTTCTGGTATGAAACATTACTGCCCATATACAAGCACCCAAAACGGGAAGAACTGCCCCCACTGTGTGGCCTATTTATTTATTTTGGAAGTGGACTTTTGACATCTGAATAACATTGGTTTATAAAGCAAAGAACACTTCCAAAGCCACGTTTGCCCCTTTCTGGTGTAATCCGGCCCCAATTCTACAGGTGGTTTATTTTTCTTCTAATGTATTGGTTAAACTTAGTCCAAAACTAATATGTGGGACCATACATTATGATTTCAGGTTAGAGGATCATTTCACAGCTCTTGGTCGATAATTATCACAAAGAAGCTGATAACCGTATTTCTCCTTGCTGAGCACTTGTGTTGAAGGCCATCTGATCTTGCCCAAGTTTACTAAACCAACCATTAGAACGACTCTTCATACAAAACCAGGACCTCACTTAGATACAAGGATCACGGCTGAATCTCCAACCTCACTTTACTCCCTCATGTCTAAGCGTACGCGGTTTGTGAAGTCACCTAGGAATACCATACGCCAACTGTATGTCCTATGCTTTTGCCTGGCTGAATTTTGTTGCTTTTGTGGAATTACAGTATGTCAAACTGGGACAGTTTGCAGGAGACACCGTTTACCATGGCTGTACAGAAGAAGAAAAAGTGCTCCAAGCTATAGCTTTTAAATAAAATGATCCCAACGCCCATGATTTAGCAGCTACGTCAGCACAGTTATGCATCATGTCAGGACGTTTTAAGGTAGGGGAGCAGTCCTCAGCCTAGCATGAAGCCTCCACAGCCCCCGTGCCCCTGCTGAGAGCAAAGGAGGATAAAAGCAAGGTTTTACTTCACATCTTCATGCCCAGACTAAGGTACTGAGGGATAACATATGGTTACCCACAAAGCCCTAAATGCTGCCACCTCACTCCATATGTTCCCTTCACTGGAAGCCTGCTTCCATTATTCCTCTCACTTTGAAGTAATACCAAGAAGGAAAAATACATCTAAGAACCACATTTTTAAGGCCCTGATCCTGCAGCCCAGTCACTTGAGCAGTCCCATTGGCTTTAATGAGACACGTGGAATTTGCCCCATTTCCACATTCTCACGCAATTAAGATCATTTGTGCCCCCTCCACCGCAACCTTTTCATTCAAATGTTGGAGGAGGCACATCCTGCAATTTGGAAATTGGCTGCCATGTCCTTTTTAAAGTGCCAATTTTCAAATGTCAATAGTTTTACTTTTTAATATTTTAACATACCAAAATAGTCTAAACTGGCATTATGTCTAACCTCTCAATCAAGCATTTCTAAAGTGACTCTCACTGTAGTACAATAAAGGAACAGAATATTTGGAAAATTGCAGCACGTTGTTTTTTGTTACAGAACTCAGAGAGGCAGTCAGATTAATAAACAGGTTTTCAAAACCAAAATTCCACACCTGTGCTACTAACAGAAACTTAATTTAACAAAGAATTTAACAAAAAAATCTAATTTAAATTTCACCATTCAAGATGTTTGGCAAAGAAAGGTCCACCTCTGATGGTCCCTAAATATGGACCCGAGGCCTAAATTTAGGCATGTGTGTTTGACAAGTTTGGTTTGGATTTACACTTGCACATCATGGAGATTGTACAGTTAAACTAGGCTGCTCAGTTTCTAGTCGATTTCATTTTCGGAGTCTCCAGCTATCGCCCAATGTGCTCCAATGTCCGGGCTGCAAACAGTCCAGGGGAAAGTTGAAATTTAAAGTGACAAACTATTTTCATTGAATTAGTTTTAAATTTCATTAAACCATTTATATGCATGTTACTATGCATTTTGTATAAACTTATTTAACAGTCTCAATTTCACCCGTGTACTCAGGGGACAGTCCACGCCCTAAGAGGGACTTAAGCAATGCAGAGGTCTCATGCTGGTGCTCTGCAAGAGGCGATTTTCTGTTACATGCCCATCCCTACAGCATCTGGGCACATTCACATAATAGAAAACCCCCATATTAAGCATCTGAATACCACACACATTTTAAATGCAGGAAAAAGCCTTCTGGCTTCCCAAGAATGCACAAAAAATATTATCACTGAGATGAGCAACAGAGAGTCCTGTGGCACCTTTAAGACTAGCAGAAGTATTGGGAGCAATACTTCTGTTAGTCATAAAGGTGCCACAGGACCCTCTGTTGCTTTTTACAGATTCAGACTAACACGGCTACCCCTCTGATACTTATCACGGAGATGGCGTATTTAAGGGGCCCGTCTACAGGATTATTGCACTGGGGCACTGTGCTGTAACAAAGGAGTGTTTTGAGAGGGGCAGGAGTATATTCTTGCTTCTATAGATGTGGCCAAATCCTGTTATATCTATAGCCAAGTGAACATTGGGAGAAATATCAGAAATTATTTTTTTGAAAAAAGCCAGTTTGTAAATTCAAGTATCTAACAGTTGCTAGAAACTAATTTAGAATTCTAAACTCAACTGTAAGATTCCCAATTTGTGCAGACACCGTCTTTCAACTATTCATGACAATTTGTTTGCAAAAGATCTGCTGCTGATATTCTTGAATGTTTCCAGATAAGCAATACATTCCCAAATCTTGTGATCTGTTTAGGGACAATTCAAGGTAAAATCCATCCCATTCATTACGTGTGTCTAATTATTAGCTCTGCTCTAGTTATGTTGAGGAACCAGGTTACAACCCTGTCTGTAGTGGGGTGTAACACACTTTAATAAACAACTGTAATAAAGTATGGTCCATCCTGTACAGGGAAGAGTAACCCATGTTACAGCACCACTGTATTAAACATACACTAACTCAGTAAATTCTGTAGTGCAGATTGGCTCAAACGGTAACTCCTCAAAAAACTGGTGGAGGCATGCATTGCATAAATAATACATCCAAGGACTGAAACAGCCTATGAGATCATTATTATATTACTTGTATTACAGTACAAATGAGATCACAGATATTGCTTATACGATGCAATGTGTACATTGACTTCAAGGGATTGGAACAGGAATGAATGGGGTGTTTCACCACATTATTATTACAAAGTACTGCAGCACCCTCTGTACTCATAGGTCACATTTTACATACCAATGCCACAAACTTATCTGGGGAAAGGAAATGTACAAAGTCCTTTTAAAAAGGAACAGAGCTTTAAAGGAAAGACACAGCCAGTTCTTGGTTTTAATCTCCTCAATCAGGTTTCAGTACAGTTTTCTCAGAACGACCCAGCACAGTGGTGGCCTCGGCACTGTCAGATTCGTTTATTGTACTTTCTCCACTACCAAGGCGAGCGGCGAGATAGAGCAAGCCACCTACCATACGGCCCCTTGAGCAGAAAATCACAAGAGAATAGAGCAGATCTGTATGCGGCTGTTTGTACAAAGCATTTAGCCAGGCTAAAGGTTTGAGAGGCTTGTGTTCAGGCCAAAGAAGTAATGTCTTTGCAAGGCCTACAGCTAGGGCCACCCAGGGCAGGTTACAGAGGGACTCTAGCCTCTTTTCCAAAAGGCTTCTCCAATGAAAGAATCAAGGAACTGTTAAGCAATGAACAAAGAATAAAGAGTTCAAACACACAAGGAAAAAAGGCACCCATTGTAAATTAATGATACAGAATTTGGGAATCTCCTTTCATATACTGTAACACAGCTATACATGCAAGTATACAGAGATTCTAATACATCGTGTGTAGTTAGGAGTAAACACAGCTGGCTTCTTTATTCCCAAATTCACTAATTTAGGGACAAGGTTTTCTGCATCATACGTGTCCCACCTTCAGAATGATGGTGGGAATGGGTGGTACAATGATTTTATCATTTACTGTAACCTGCATAATTTGCACATTGTTTCATTACTTGTGAATAACGCAGTTATCCCCAACTCGTGCCAATTAAACCTTTAAGCCAAACCATCAAGTTCTGTTTTTTACACCCACACACACACACCACAGCCCCTTTTGTCACCGTAGTAGCTGAATTTTATATACACACACTATCTATATATACACACACAGTTTTTTTATATTATACCACGTGTATTATGTATTTCACACACACACACACACACACACACACCCTTGCAAAATCCTACCTTCCCATTTGCTCATGCTATGCAATATTTTTGCCCCATGTCAAGATGATAATTATAGAAGCACATTTTCTGCATGGGCTCATAAATGCTCAGAAGATTTTTGCAAAGCTGACACATACACTCTCTTACTCTTCTCTTCACAGACATTGTTGGTAGGACTAGTGGAGGAGGTGAGTTGGCAGCAGACCTTTGGAGACAGAGAGGGGGGCTTGGAGTACAACAGCTGAGAGGCTGTTGCGGGCAAAGGGGTGGCATCAAGGTAGGGTTTGCCTGAGCCCTCCCCCAACCCTGTTTATGGGATTATGAAGCTTCATACAGACAAGATTTAATCCTAGATGCTACAATGAACCTGGGTCAAATCATAGTAGAAGGGGACAAGGGTTTTTAAATCAATTTGATATTATGAAAGTCACTGAACA